ACATTGAGGCAAATCTGGTGGCGCGTCACAAGCATGCCCCATCCCTTCCCTTTTTCCCCATCCCCATCAAGATCCACTACCACCGCTCACGGTCACCTCCGGTCGAGGAGGAGGAGCAAGCGCCGATCGTCCGGTCGTAGCCACGTCAGGGAGGTCCGCCATCACCGGTGCTGGGAGAGGCCTCCGACGAGGATGGGGATGGTCACGGGCTCCACGCTAGCTGCTAGGCATCTCCTCTCTCTCCATCTCGACATGCTCGCATGCACCTCCTCTTCACATCTTCGTTCGTATCTAGATGGGGATGGAATGCCTAGGCGCTAGATCTAGATGGGGATGGAAGGAAACGGGAGGAGAGGGGAGACAGAACATATAGGATGGGGATGGCGCTGGATCTCGACATGCTCACCGGCGAGCCATGCAACTCCCATGCCTCGCGCCGCTCTAGTGCCCATTCGGCGAGGCGCAGGCGGCGTAGGGGTGCTCCGCCCGGGACCGACGAGTCGTGGGTGGCGCAAGAAAGCGCCGTCGCCAGTGTGGTCTGGTGTGGAGAGGAGGAGAAGATGGTCAATTCTCAAATGCCATGGTATGAACATCCAAACATGAATCGGTATTCACTAGCTCCTTATGATTCTATCTAGCAATTTCATCTGCATCCAAACAATGGTTTTGGTATTGTAACCGAATACCAATACTACTCTGATTTGGTATCGAAGCCAATTCAATGCCAAGACCTCCAATATTGACATCCAAACGGAGCCTACCGTAATTTCAGCAGGCAGGGGATCAAGCCAAATTAAAAATATGGGTCTTACCCATGGTGGAAGGGACCCTACACTAAAGGCCCTCTGCTGATCTTCGATCTTATGGTGCCCCGCGAGGTTAAACAACACCCCAATTTGCCGCATGACTTCATCCCGGTCAATTGGCTCAGGTACTTCATGGGTCCCATCAGTATCTCCCCGGTATTCATATCCAGGGTGCGCTCTCTCCTTGTTGGGCTAGCATTGCCGAAAAGTAAAGTTTGTCACCACTACGACACCATCCACCCTTCTCCGATCGATCTGCGCCAACAACTCTGTTACTTGCCCCATTCCATTGCCACCGAGTCTCTCTGACCACTTGGAGTTGCTCACAGGAATCTGGTCAATGTCGCATGCCACATAGTGTTCCCCCTACGGCATGTAGAACCATCGCTGCACCTAGTATTTCACATTCGTATTCAACGGTGTGGCAATACACTGGCCAACCATCCCGTCCCGAAGCTACAAGTACGCGTTGCTATGATTCTAGATCCAGATCCCCCTGGGCTTTCAAACAAAAGAAGTGGCGGAAGAGATAGAAATGAGGAAGAATGCCAAGATAAGCCTCACAGAAGTGTATGAACACAGAAACGTGTAGAATTGAATTTGGGCTCAGATTGCAAAGACTAATCTTGTAATAGTCAATCAATCCATGGAGAAACAGATGGATTGGAACGCCAAATCTGTGAAAGAAATAATCTTCAAAAACTACAAGTTCATCGCCACGGGGAGTTGAAAAGCTCTCACCGCGAGCCGGACGCCATCCTACCTTCACCCTATTTGGCAGCACGCCATCTTCTACTAACCGATTCAGCGCCGCCTCATTGCTGACGGACACCACCAATTCCTCGGCGCGATTGAGTTCGCGCGATCCTCTACTCGAACTGCCACAATTTCTTTTGGGCGCCATCTCGTAGATTCACTGCTCGGATGAGGCTGTGTGTTTGTGGTTGCTCTAATGATGGAATAGTTGCGAGGCAAAGCGGTGTGGGCGCGAGGGAAGTGGTGGAGAAAAAGTGGGGAATGTGCGTCGGGGTTGCGGCACTTTTATAATGGTTCAACCCCTAACCTTCCGCCTTCTAGGGTTTTTGGGCAACCGCCTCCGCTGCGCCGCATTTCCCTCCGATGTCTCCGCACCCCGCTGGGCCGCTGAGTGGGCCTGGTGGGCTGCTGCATCACACCATGTCAAACACAGGCTAATATTCAATATTGAGTGTGCTACGCGACATTGGGAACTGGGCCAGCACCTGAAAACCACTACTTTGGACTCTGGCACTACGTGACTACTTCACCTACTACTAGGATCAGGGACTAAGTGGGCACACTTCACCTCGCGGTGAATGTGCTTATTTTTTTTACTTAATCTTCTACAAAGTGACTAAGTTTCTCCGCGCTGACTAAGTCAAGGACGCTAAGCATCTAACTTTGACGCCGAGAACCTAAGTGGGCACACTTCATCCAAGATGGAGACTTTAAAAAATTTTATCATGAGCCCCTTACATCCTTTTGGCAAACCTCATCTTCGAGCAAGTCTGGGCTCAAACTGCTCGGACGGCGTTCCCACTGCTCAGACAATAGCTTGAATGATAGTTCAACAGCTCAGGCTCCTGTTCAACTGCTAGGATACTTGCTTCAACAGCTTGGCTCCCAGTTAAAACTGGTCGGACGTCTATTCCTGATGGTCAGCAGCAAGTTGGACAGCTCGGACAAGCTCAAGACGGTGTTGCTCAGTGGATACAAGGTGTTCGGGGACTACCTATGGGGGTATGACCCCCGGTACCCACAGGATAAGACATGGGCCGCACCACCAGAGGTGGCCCAGCCCACAAGACTGTGCCTGGGTCACGCCACTTGTGGAGGTCCAGCCCACAAGACCACGCTGTACAAGGCATGATACCGGTTAGCGTGCCTCGCAAGACTGCATGAAGATCTCCGGTGATCTAGGAGACCTGCTCGGATACACCAGATCCCATGATATCTGTAACTTCCTATCTTGTAAAACCGATCAGGATAGAAACAACCGATCTATAATCCTACCCCCCGAGCTATATAAGGCGGGTAGGGACCCCCTCGTTTTGATAGAATCATACGCAATACAATCCACAAAGACACAGGACGTAGGGTATTACGCCAAGTCGGGGGCCTGAACCTGTCTAATCGTTGTCTCTTGAGTTATGTGTCACTGTCCAGTTCCCCTAGGTGCACCTCCACCGATTCATCTACTACCATGGGCATGCCCCTCGGTAGACTGCGGACCGTATTTAGATATATCAGTTTCCTCTAAGTGAAGGTATCTTAAGTGCTTCAACATAGATATAGAGGGAACCAATCTATTAAAATCAGCAAACCATATGCACAGTACCCGCAGGCTAGAGAAACAACTCAGCCAATCACCAGGAAGATAAAAGTTTACTCTAGAATTTATAATTAATGTCCTAAGTGACTCTTGCCGTTGCAGAATGCCCCATTCCACTACTGATACGCTCTGTTCTATGGAGAGGTGACGGACATGTATATGACCACCACCACCACCACCATTAATACCAGTAGCCACTACCGGACTCCCTGAATTTGCCGAGTGCCCAAAACACTCGGCAAAAGACATAAAACACTCGGCAAATGGTTCGCCGAGTGTAACACTCGGCGAACAGCACTCGCCAAAAAAAATGACGGCAAAGCCAACTTTACCGAGTGTTTTTTATCGGGCACTCGGCAAAGCCTTTGCCGAGTGCTCGACACTCGGCAAAGTTGGAACCGATAAAAACCCGAAAAAATAGGAATTTTTACCAAAAAAAATAGAATTTTTTTTTATTAGAGGAGGCCCCCACTGGCCAGCGCCCGCGCCCATCTCCACAATTTTTCGCGTCAAATCACGGCAACGCGGCCGAAGGGAATCGAACCCGCGACCTCCCCCTGCCGGTAAACCTCTACCACTACACCACGCTTTCATTTGTGTTTGGATTTTATTTTAGTTCCTAATATATTATACTAAACCAAATGTAAATTGCTTGTTTGAAGCCCTAAATGAATTCAAATAAAAAATTTGTAAACTACAAAGTTTCATAACTTTTTGAGATCTATACTTTTAGTTTAGGAAATTTTTCCATCCGATGTCGTTTAAAAATTTTGAATTTTAAAATTTTGAAATTCAAATGCAGTTTTGCATGACAAGATGATTTCAAATCAAAAAGTTACCAACTACAATGTTTCATAACTTTTCGAGATCTACAAAGTTTATTTTGGTTGTTTTTCCATCCGAGGTCGTTTGAAAAGTTTGAATTTTAAAATTTTGAAATTCAAACACAATTTTGCATGACAAGATGATTTCAAATAAAAAAGTTGCCAACTACAATGTTTCATAACTTTTCGAGATCTACAAAGTTTATTTTGGTTGTTTTTCCATCCGAGGTTGTTTGAAAAGTTCAAATTTTAAAATTTTGAAATTTAAACACAGTTTTGCATGACAAGATGATTTCAAATAAAAAAGTTGCCAATTACAAAGTTTCATAATTTTTCGAGATCTACAAAGTTTATTTTGGTTGTTTGGTCATCTGTTCATCCGACATGGTCGTTCTAACATTATTCATAAATCTTATATATCTCTCTTGTAGTTTCATAAACTACCAGAGAGATATGTTAGATTTGTGAACAAATTTACTTTCACTTTTTCATATGAAGAAAAGACCAAAACAAACATTGTACATCTTGATGAGTTATACAACTTTGTAGTTGAAAACTTTTTCATTTGAATTAATTTACTGCTTCAAAATGTGCTTTGAAATTTTCTTTGCCGAGTGTAAAAAAAAACACTCGGCAAACAAGCTTGTTTGTCGAGTGTAAAAAAAACACTCGGCAAAGAGCTTGTTTGCCGAGTGTCAAAAAAAACACTCGGCAAAGAGCTTCTTTGCCGAGTGTCAAAAAAAACTTTGCCGAATGTAAAAAAAAACATTCGGCAAAGAGCTTGTTTGCCGAGTGTCAAAAAAACATTCGGCAAAGAGCTTCTTTGCTGAGTGTCAAAAAAAACACTCGGCAAAGACGTCTTTGCCGAGTGCCCGAAAAACAACACTCGGCAAACCATTTAACACTCGGCAAAGAGCCGGTCTCCGGTAGTGAGCAGCCTGTTCTGTGCCAACCACCACTAGTGATTGTTCTCTTGCCATGTATTCAGCAAAGGTGCGGACCACATCGTGTATGGTGCACCTGTATCCAGTGAGAGAATATTCTTCTATAGGTTCTATAAAGTTTCTCTTTATTAACTCTTGATAGTACTCAATTGCTATCTCTTCGAACCCATACTCATGTAAACTATTAGTACTACCACCCGGAGGTTGGATAAATCCTTCACCAATCCACATTTGAGTTTCTACACCATGTACGAGTTCTTCACCTTTAGGGAACAGCGAGCAGTACAGAAAGCATTGCTTTAACTGGGGGGACAAGTCCTCGTAGCTCAAGTATATCCGGTTGTCTAGTTCGGGAGGCAGTCCAGTCAGTGACCAAGCTGGCTTGTTCAAAACAGACTTCCACTCATGCTCACTTGGGTATCTTGTGCTCAAGAGACCTCCAATCATTTTAATTGCAAGCGGTAAGCCATCACAATTTTCAAGAATTTCCATCCCAATAGTTTTCAGTGGATCAATTCCGACTACCTGCCAACATTTAATTTAGAGCTTCTTAATTATTTCTAACAACAACCAGGTTGCTTATATTACATTTCCATGCAAATACGAATTGGGCATGCTTCTTTTGTAAACATATTAAGGTTATGTACATATTAAGTAATTTAGATGGAAACGTAGATAATTTAGATGTAAATTTTAGTGCTACATATTAATGGAGACGGTCACCTATGATGATCACCTCAGTAAATCGATTTTCAGATGAGGGCATCCTAAGATGTCCATCTCTGATAATCAATTGATGGAGACAGGCGTCCTATGGCGATTACTTCTGTTAATCGATTTTCACAAGTGGGTGTCTTAAGGTGCCCGCCTCTATAAATTGTTGCGTCAAAAAATAATTCATGTTCATATGAACTCGGATGAAGACAAACTTTCTATCTAAATTGTAGCCCTTGACGCAATCTACAAATTTGTAGTTCAAAGTTTTTTATTTGAGTCTGTTTAGTGTCCCAAAATGTTGTTGTAAGTTCACGATTTTGAAATTTGAAATTTAAAAATTTCAGACAATCTTGGATGTTGACATGGTCTATACAAAAGTTGTAGTTCTCAATACAATCTACATCTTTGTAGTAGAAAAGTTTTTTATTTAAGGTCGTCTGAAGTCTCAAATATGTGTTCTAAGTTTATAGATTTTGAAATTCAAAATTTAGAATTCCTAAGAGACCTCGAATGTTCACATAGTTAATCCCAAAGTTGTAGTGGCCTATCTGATCTACATGTTTTCTGTTGATAAGTTTTTGATTTAAAGATTTTTAGTGTCTCAAATTTTTGTTTAAATTTCACATATTTTGAGATTCAAATTTTTAAATTTTCCAAAAAATCTCGGATATGGAGACACATTCTATACTAAAGTTGTAGTGGTTGGCATGATTTAAAACTTTGTAGTTAAGACTTTTTTATTTGAGTTAATTTAGACGCCAAAATATTCAATATAAGATTAAGAAATGTTGTTATAAAAAATAGTATCTTATATATAGTCACAAATGAGTGTGTGGTGTAGTTGCAGAGATGTGCTAGTGCTGAACTATAGTTTGTAGGTTTGATTCTCCAAAGATACAATTTTTGTAGTTTTTTTGTTTTTTTTTAACAGAGGTGGGCATCTTAACGTGCCCATCTCCGTAAATGGTATTAACAGAGGCGGGCATCTTACGTTCCCGTCTCTCTATAAATCAATTTATGGAGGCAGTCGTTTACTCGTCTCTAGAAATGGTTGATTAACAATGACGATAGGCCAGAGGCGGATGCCGTGCCCGCCTCCATAAATGCAAAATGATCGCCTCTAAAAATCATTACAGTAGTAGTGAACATTTATAAATTGAAATAGGTACGCTCTAAATATATTTCTTTATAAACAAAATCTAATGATATTAAATTGATGTTATAATTAAAGTTAATATTTTCTGTTGATATTAAATATGATCACATTTCAAGTAGCTAGACTTCATACAGAGCTAGCCATGCACTAATTTTTTGGATGGAGTTAGTAATGGCTAACTTGATCCTAACGTTTTGTTATTACATTTTATTATGTCTTCTTTTTTTATCGTGTTTTACTGGTCTCCTTTTTCTACTCTCGTAAGCTGGTGTTCCTTGCACTAATGTTTTGATTTAACGGAACTCTGATCCATACGCTTTCTATTAAATCAAGTATATATCCTAGTTGTATAAAGTATGGATAGACGACTAACCTGGTCAGGCTGCAGCTGTTTCTTGAGCAAAGACCAAGCATCATCATTATCTAGAGGCCTGACATGGTGTTGGTGCCCCGGGGGGGTGGTGCAGGGCTTGCATCTGTTGGGGTAGGTGAGCAGATCTTGTAGTGACAAGGACCCGGCTTCCAGGTAGCTTCTTGCTGTTATTTCTTACTGGGACACTAAGCACATGGTTCCATGCTTCATGACTCCACACATCATCCATCACAAGCAGAAACCTGCCTGTTGATAGGGTGTTGATGAGGGTCTCAATCAGAGTATTCTTGTTGGGCCTTCCACCATGGCCTCCGCCAGCATTTTCAATTGCTGTCCTCAGTAGCTCAACAACATCAAATTGTTGGGTGATGCTTAGCCATATCTTTTTTTTGAAGTGCTCTTGGATGGTTGCATCGTTGAAGATCTTCTGGGCGAGGGTGGTCTTACTCATGCCGCCTGCACCAATGATAGACACAACTTTGATGTTGTGATTATGAAGGACCGGAAACGGCGACCAGAGGGGGGGGTGAATGGGAGCCTCAAATTTCTTCCGAAATCTTCAACCACTGTCCCAACATCAATCCCCAAAAACCATACACGAAAGACTTGATGACCGCGACCCTAGAGAAGGGTGGATGCTCCCTCAGAACACAGCGGGTCACCACAGAGCAAACGGACCACAGATCGAAGCCCAAACGAGCAAACTCCCAAAATAAAACAGCACTGCTTCTGCAAATATCGGACACGTCCGGTATTATATCGGACACGTCCGGTATTTTCGGACACGTCCGGTATGATCTCGGACACGTCCGGGATTTTCAGCAGCAAGCTGACCAAAAGAGAAAAATCCGAAACCCCATCAAACGGTGTCCAAAAATCATGAAATTTTAACCATAGCTCTTTAGACACCAAGGGAAGATCTCCACAAAATTTTAGCTCAAAACTCCAAAGTGAGAAATATCGGACACGTCCGGTATGATATCGGACACGTCCGATATGAACGAGCAGTTTCTCGGGAAAAATTAAATCAAGCCATAACTTGATCAAATCAACTCCAAATGACTTGAAACTTTGCACAAGAGTTCACAAGCGAGTAGAAAGGCAACCTCTAAAAGATCATAGCCCGAGACAAACTCTAACTCCGTGAATCGAAGGAATTAAAGAAAACCCCCAAAAAATAGGTCAAGAACTAAAATTGCCCGGATCTGCGATCTCGTGAGGAATTAGTGGATTTCCTTGGTGGAAAGCTTCTACTCATGTCTTTGATCGATCCAAGGCAACAAGAACGAACCGAAACCATCCCAAATCGAAGAAGCGAGAGAGGGAAACAAGAAGGGACAAAAGGAGCTCGTGAAGAACACCAAAATCACATCAAGAACACAACTAAATCATGAATCCCGGAGGACATACGGTGAATTCTGACCACCGATTCCTTCAAAACCAAGTCACAATTTGAGTTGTGGACCTCTCTCATACATGGAAGCAAACTAGAGGAAGAAACCCTAAAGGAGAAAATGAAAACTGGAGGAGGTAAGGGAGATGGGGGCTCCCTCATCCTATTTAACAGGGCTATTACACATTCCCAGTTTTGCCCCTGGATACAAATGAGTTGAACCGCTAAGCCCAAAGGCGTTGTTGTCCAACCTGGTGTAATCTTGATCCGACGGCCACCGCGCCTTCTCACCGGTAGCCGCCGACGCGAACTCCCCGATGCCGCCACGCGTCCGTCCGTCCCTCCTCGGAACCTCCTTTGGGGTTTTGAGGCCCAAACCCGTAAACCGTCGCATGGTAGCGTACTCCATACGCGTTCCCCGCCATCCGACGCGTGTCACCGCCGTCCTCGACCGGCCGGCCCGCCAAGTCCTCCTGAGCCTCGCTCGACTCACGCGTCCGCCGTCTTGACCCAGTCAACACCGTCACTCCATGTCTTCTTGCACTTGTCGATGTCCCAAGTGTAACCACCACATGACTAGTCACCCGACCTCTGGGTCCCTCGGTCCAAGCCTCACGTCCGTCCTTCACCGCTCCGGTGCATGCCAAGACGCAGCACGTCCTCCTTGACCTTCACCTCGCCATCGACCACCGCATCAAGAGCTCCACACACTGCACAACACAAGCCAAAAGACATGTCGCGCACACATAGCTTTCGCCATGGTAGGGTTAGTCACCACTCAACCTACTTCGTGGATCACATTGACAATCACTCATCACAAAGCGACACACAAGGGTACTTGTCAACCTTGTGTTCGCAATCTCCCCTTGATGAGTGCATTGTCAACACCAACTCTATGAACGACTTGAGCAAAAAGAAAAAGAAGAAGAAGAGAAAAGAAAGAACTCACCCAAATGACCAAAAGCCAAAGAAAAGCCAAGAACCGGGTCATTTGAAAATGAGCAAAACTTGGTCCCCAAAGACATGGGCAGCGGCTCGGCGCAACCAAGTAAAACAAAGCTAGCCCTCAAGAAGAGGCAATGGGCTCAACACCACTAGCAAAGCTCGAAAAACCGAAAAGCTGCTAGACCCTCGAGGAAGAGGCAAAGGCTCAACACATCTAGCAAAACACCTCAAATGCAACTCCCCCGAACAAGTGCAATCTCTCTCAAATGAATGCATATCTCTCAACTTTAGGTGAAATTGGAAGTTTGAAATTGGAAGTTTCTTCCCCTTGTGTCATTGTGAGTGTGGAAAACTTCTCCCCTTGTTGACACATGCACTTATCAAGCTAGAGCCCAAAGATTGCATCTCCCCTCAAATCATGCTATGAATGCGAGTAAATGCAATAATGCGAAGCTTCAAGATTATAGTAAGTAGATTGAAAAGAGGCTCTAGTTGATGCTGTCATGTATATATAGCAACACATACAAGTGCTAGCAAATGCTCAAAGTGACCAAATGAGACGAAATATGGCATTTAAGCAATTTTGATCAAGTTTGAGCAATTTTAAAAGAGGGTTCACCACCAAAGGAGCACATAGCAAAAGTAGACAGGAGATTGACCTTGTGCTACACATGTATGCAAAGTGAACTACCCCAAACAAAGTTCACACATCATGTCATGAAACAAACTTGTGGTTTGATCAGATTTTAGATACCAATTGAAATTTATCGGAGTCATGCAACTTATTACCCAAGTTTGTCAGACAAGTGTGTGCGGGAGGTTATCTGTACCATCAAAACCTGACTTAGCGACCATGTCAAGCCTATGCCAAAGGCAATCAGAAGCTTAAGACAATGATCTCGGTATCCATTACAGAGCTCAAGTTCACCAATAAGTGCAATTTGAAGCTGTCTCGATACTCTGACATAGGATAGTACAGACCCATCCCGATCTTTTCAATTCACTTAGTTTGTTTTTCAAGTTTTAGCACAAATTCAAGTTTCTCAAGCAAGTGTGTAACTCAAGGTATGAGCCGTAGCAACTAAGCATATATATGAAGCAAAGAAGATCTCGACACATTCTACACATGCTAGTTGCCACAAGTAGTGGTGAACACATTTCATGTTTTAACAAATTTTAATCAAGTTCACAGTTTGGAAAACAAGCTTAGCTCATAACATGCATCAATTGATCAAAAGGAGCCTAAGTCAATAGCACATCATGTATATCCATAACATCCCCAACAAGAGCATAGTGTCAATCTAGCTACTATAAGGATGAAGCTCAGGATGCAATATGATACATGATGATATGATATGCAAGTATGATGTAAAAATAAAAACAAAAGCTAAACTACAAAGAAAAGCAAAACTAGAATAACACAACCAAAGTTCCCCTCCTCTAAAAAGGGAAACAAACTCCAAGCTCCCCTCGCAAGCGAGCAAACTGGGCTTGGTCAAGTGGTTTGGTGAAGATATCTGCGAGCTGGTTTTGGGTATCAATGTGGTGCAGATCAATATCACCTTTCTCATAGTGGTCACGCAAGAAGTGAAAGCGAACTTCTATGTGCTTTGTCTTTGAGTGAAGGACTGGGTTTTTGGCTACACTTATGGCACTGGTGCTGTCACAAAACAAAGGCACTCGCCTAAACTCTAACCCAAAGTCTCTCAGAGTAGCTATCATCCAAAGCAACTGGGAACAACAAGCAGCAGCCGCAATATACTCAGCTTCTGTGGTGGATTGGGCGACGCTAGACTGCTTGCGAGAAGACCAAGACACAAGAGAAGATCCAAGAAACTGACAAGTCCCCGAAGTGGACTTCCTCTCAACACGACAACCAGCATAATCCGCATCAGAATACCCGCAAAGAGAAAGAGAGGAGGAGGCCGAAAACCAAAGACCAAACTCGGGTGTGAAACGAAGGTACCTGAGGATCCGCTTGATGGCTTGACGATGAGACGTGCGCGGCGAAGACTGAAATCGCGCGCACAAGCAGACTGCGAACTGGATGTCTGGTCTCGTCGCCGTTAGGTACAGCAGGGACCCGATCATGCTTCGGTATTCCTTCTGGTCCACGGCTTCTCCCTCCTTGTCCTCATCCAGGGCCGTCGTGGTTGACATGGGCGTTGAAAGAGGCTTGGCCTCACCCATATCAAATTTCTTGAGCACGTCCTTGGTGTACTTGCCTTGGTGCACGAACGTCCCCTCACGAGTTTGCTTGATTTGCAGCCCGAGGAAGAAAGTCAATTCGCCCATCATGCTCATCTCAAATTCCCTGCTCATAGTATCTGAAAACTTGGCAACAAGAGCATGAGAAGAGCCACCAAAGATTATATCATCCACGTATATCTGAACCAAAAGGATGTCTGTGCCTTGCTTGAGGAGGAACAAAGTCTTATCTACGGAACCCATCCTAAAACCCTTATCAAGCAGGAAAGCTTTCAAACGCTCATACCAGGCTCTCGGGGCTTGTTTCAAACCATACAAGGCTTTGTGAAGTTTAAAAACATGGTTGGGGTACTTTGGATTTTCAAAGCCAGGGGGTTGCCTCACATAAACCTCTTCCTCTATGTACCCATTCAAGAAGGCACTCTTCACATCCATCTGATACAGCTTGAACCCTTTCGAAGCTGCAAATGCTAAAAGAATCCTAATGGCTTCTAGACGGGCAACAGGAGCAAAGGTTTCTTCATAGTCTATTCCCTCTTTTTGGCAAAAACCCTGAGCCACTAATCTCGCCTTGTTTCTCACCACCACCCCATCCTCACTCTGCTTGTTCTTGTAAACCCACTTTGTACCTATGGGGTGGCACTCTGGTGGAGGTGGAACTAAAACCCACACTTGGTTCCGCTCAAAGTTCTCTAACTCCTCATGCATAGCATTAACCCAATCGGCATTAGATAGTGCGTGTCCAATATCTCGAGGCTCAAAAGAAGCTAAAAAAGCAGAATGAGCGAAATGGGAAATATGATAAGACTTGGAACGCGTTACCCTTTCGTCGATGTCGCCAATCATGGTCTGAGGAGGATGGCGTCGCTGGATGTGTCGAGGTGCACCCAAAGACGAAGTTGCCTCCCCCTCATCCACAGCTGGGGCCTCCTCAGTCGATTGAGGAAGCGGCTCGCACGGACCCCATAAAGTAGAGGTGGAGGGCTCGGGGCCGTGAGCCGAAGTGGTCGAAGCTGGCTCGATCGGGGCAGCTGGTTGAGATGGCTTGGGATCATCCCAATCGACGTCATCGTCATCCTCAACGAAAATGCTGTCACCCATCTCTTCATCACCTGCATGTTCAAAGACAGAAACAGAAGAGGGCATGGTTTCGTCGAAGGTGACTTCACAAGTCTCCACGACACGGTTAGTCTCAAGATTAAGCACACGGTACGCATGTGAATGAGAAGCGTAACCGAGAAATATACCGTCCGAAGATCTAGATTCAAACTTATCAAGATTACCTTGCTTAAGAATGAAGCACCTGCAACCGAAGACTCGAAAATGACTCACCTTGGGTGGACGCCCAAACCGCAACTCATAGGATGTCTTCTTCAAGAAAGCACGAAGGAAAATGCGGTTTGAAACATGGCAAAAGCGGTGTTGATGGCTTCGCCCGATGCGCCTAGGAGTCCTATGCTCATCGAGCATCGTCACCGCCATTTCAACCAAAGTCCGATTTTGCGCTCAACAACACCATTCTCTCTTTGAGGAACATAGGGCGAAGAGGCGATGTTCAAGACCCAAAGAAGCACGAAGGTGTCAAAGCGAGAGTTTTTGAACTCGGTGCCATTGTCGCTGCGGATAGCTCGTATGGCATTCTTTGGTAACTCGGTTTGCAACCTCAAGATCAAGTCACGAGCATGAGAAAATGCTTCGTCCTTGCCCTCCATGAAAAACACCCAAGAATAGCGAGAAAAATCATCCACGATCACAAGAACGTACCACTTCCCTCCCTCTGACCGAACCCGAGCCGGACCAACAGTGTCCATATGAAGTAGCTCACGGGTCTCGTGGTCATGACCTCGAAGTCACCGGAGGATGGGAAGCGCCACCATCTTCCCATGGCGGCGGGGATGGCATACCAGATCCTTCTCAAACTTAAGTTTGGGCAATCCTCGGATCATGTCAAGAGAACTCAATCTCACTTGGAGATCGAAGCTCAAGTGACCAAGTCTCCTATGCCACTTCCACAAATCAGAAGAAGATCCGGCAACCAAACAGCGAGAAGAACCGAAAGACTGAGAGAAATCAGCTCTGAAAACTCGGCCGAAAGGAACGATCTGACAAACTAGATGTCCCTGAGAATCGAGCACACGAGAAAGTCCAGTCTTAAAGCGCACCTCAAACCCATCTTGAAGGAGTTGCGAAACAGAGAGCAAATTGAAATGCAGGCTTGAAACCAAAGCAACGTCCTTCAAGATAAAAGACTCATTGACCCGAATGGTCCCATGAGACAGCACCTTACCTTTGCTATTGTCCCCAAATGTGATGTACTCCTTGTATTGCATGGGGTCGAGGCTGGAGAACCATTTGGAACTTCCGGTCATGTGGCGCGAACAGTAGGAATCAACAAGCCACGTGTTCTCCGGGCCTCCGCCTGCATCAATAGAAAGACAAGGGGTGAGCAAATGGCACAACTTTGGGGTTAGTGAAATGAGGAGAATACCGGTGTTGAGTCATTTGCCCCGAAAAAGTGTTAGGAAAAACACCATACATGCCATGTCCCATTGGAGAGAAGCGATCACCACGTGGGGGAAGCGTGGTCCGCTAGGAGTCTGGGGATGAAAACCACGGTCGCGAGGTCCAAAGTCATATCGATCATGACTTGGGCCATGCCGGGCACGACCACCTCGTGGTCTCGCCACTGAGGCCCTAGCACCTTGAGGCATTGCACCTCTAGGCCTAACACTGCCTCTGAGCAGGTGGTACATGTACGCCATGTGGAGGGACGGTACATGTTCGGTTGTTCAACTCATACTCGCGCAGCTCATCTCTCTTCCTCCTAAAGCAAAACTCAGCCAAATGACCATCTCTATGGCAATAGTCACAGTGGTACCTCACCTCTCTCTTGGGTGGTGGTTGACTCACTCTCCGAGGCTTTTTGGCTTTAGGAAGGGGTGCACTAGAGATGTTGGGTAGAGTATCGAGTGAGTTCGAAAGTGGTTCGGTTTGGGAACCCAAACTTGTTTGGATGGTGGAGCTTTTGGTGGTTCTTCAAACACACCATCTTTGATCATAGGCTTGGTAGGCTCTGGTGAGGGATCTTGATCAATTTGGGAGTGTTGGTGGGTTTCTCATTTGGGTTCAAACCACTATGTTCACCAACCTTGCCATAGACATGCTCACCCTTCCCACCTATAGCAAAGCCTACTCCCGATGAGTCAGTTCCCCACCTAAACTGGCTCACCATCATGCCCAACTGGGGCTCAATTGCACGACACCCAGCTCAAGATAGACCCGAAGTTGTGTGTTTTCTTCCTCGGTTCCCATCTTGTCATGCCTCTGGGACTCAAGCTCCAACACCAAAGCTTCACATCGAACACATGTAGTGGTGGTGCTATCTGAGTTGGCCTTCTCAAACTCAGCAAGTTTGGCAACCTTCTCTGCCAACTCAGATTGCAAGCTGAAAGGGACTTGCATGCACCGAAAGCAACCCGAGCGAGACTTCAGCTCATCACATTCATCAAGCAAAACAGCATACTTGGATTGCAAGTCGAGAGGTTAGACATGTGTATAGCGCACTCATCGCACTCCTCCTCCGACACCACTACGCCACTCTTGGCAAGCTCCAACTCCTTCAAAGCAACCTCTAGCTGGTCCTTAAACTCTTTTCTCTCACGGGCAGCAGCAAGCAACTTATCTTGATTCATCAATGTATCATTCATAGTATCAAGCTCAAGCATGAGTGAGTCAAGTGTGGCGGTACCTCGTTTTTTCGTCGTCGTCGGCGTCCTTCTTGAGCTTTGCTCCACCGTCAATCGCCATAGTGCAAAACCCACCACGGTTTGCACGGCGACAAAGCGAGACCGTTGAGCTTGTCCTCGCGCTTCTTCTCGGACTCATCGTCGGTCGAGGAAGAAGAAGAGTGATCATCGTCGGAGTCATCGTCGAGGTCATTTGAGGGAGGCGAGGAAGGCGCGTTCTTGAGCTTTGGCCTTCTGCGATGCGCCTTCTTGATCGCCTCCTTGTCGAAGCCGCCCTTGGCCTTGTGCTTGCCGGAGGTGTAGTCGCGTTTATCCTTGCGCTTGCCGGAGTCGTACTTGTTGGCGAAGGTCTTCTTCTTGGGGGGCGGTCTTGCACGAAGTGGTCCGGATCTCCACATCCATAGCATCCCTCCGCCGGGCCACCATCTGCGTCGGCGGTTCAAGCGGTTGTTGTGAAACCGAGAGAACCGATGATGACGAGTGCCAACTCATCATCTCCAAGAGACTCCAGCTGCTCTCTGTGGTCGACATCAAGCACGACAAAGAGAAAGAAGCTTGTGAAGGGTTAGTCAAAGAACTTGAACCACTACACGAGACCAAAGCCATGGTTGGTGCGGAAGGATTCTTGAGCTTGGCTTGAGTTTGGTAGTCGATCTCTGTGGACTTGAGCTTCTTTGAAAAGCTCGTCGACGGTGAGGGTGTCATAGTTGGCGGACTCGATGATCGCCGACACCTTCACATCCCATACCTTTCGATCAAGGGCATAGAGAAGCTTGGCGCTCTCTCATGATCACTATAAGGTAGGTTGGCCTTGTTCGCTTTCATTTTGTTGACAATAGTCCGAAAGAGGAAAACATGGCATCGATGGACTCGCCATCAAAATTTGAGAGAAGTTCTCGTACTCGGCGCTTGTACGTCTCGTAGAGTCCGGTCTTGACCTCAGGCGGTCCCCTCGTGATAGCTCTGAAGCCTCACCCGGATCTCTCGAAGCTGTAGTACAATCGGAGACACGCTCGAACTCGAAAGCGAAAGACTCGAGAAAAGCACTGCCGCGAGCTTTGCTATTTGCGTTGTGCCGATCCTTGTGATCTGGGTGGTACGGGCGCGACGGGGAGCACAACGTAAGTAGCATCCTCGCAAATTTCCCAGACGAGCCAATCAATCCCACGGAGATGCGCGGACATGCGGATCTTCCAATAAGAATAGTTGGACCCATCGAAGTGCGGTGGGTTTGCCGTAACCACGCTCCATATCGCCTTCCGTGGATCACGGACCGATTAAGGTGGAATGATCCTTAACCGGCTCGATACCAATTGAAGGACCGGAAAGCGGCGACCAGAGGGGGGTGAATGGGAGCCTCAAATTTCTTCGAAATCTTCAACCCCTTGTCCCAACATCAATCCCCAAAACCATACACGAAAGACTTGATGACCGCGACCCTAGAGAAGGGTGGATGCTCCCTCAAAACACAGCGGGTCACCACAGAGCAAACGGACCACAGATCGAAGCCCAAACGAGCAAACTCCCAAAATAAAACAGCACTGCTTCTGCAAATATCGGACACGTCCGGTATTATATCGGACACGTCCGGTATTTTCGGACACGTCCGGTATGATCTCGGACACGTCCGGGATTTTCAGCAGCAAGCTGACCAAAAGAGAAAAATCCGAAACCCCATCAAACGGTGTCCAAAAATCATGAAATTTTAACCATAGCTCTTTAGACACCAAGGGAAGATCTCCACAAAATTTTAGCTCAAAACTCCAAAGTGAGAAATATCGGACACGTCCGGTATGATATCGGACACGTCCGATATGAACGAGCAGTTTCTCGGGAAAAATTAAATCAAGCCATAACTTGATCAAATCAACTCCAAATGACTTGAAACTTTGCACAAGAGTTCACAAGCGAGTAGAAAGGCAACCTCTAAAAGATCATAGCCCGAGACAAACTCTAACTCCGTGAATCGAAGGAATTAAAGAAAACCCCCAAAAAATAGGTCAAGAACTAAAATTGCCCGGATCTGCGATCTCGTGAGGAATTAGTGGATTTCCTTCGGTGGAAAGCTTCTACTCATGTCACTGATCGATCCAAGGCAACAAGAACGAACCGAAACCATCCCAAATCGAAGAAACGAGAGGGGAAACAAGAAGGGACAAAAGGAGCTCGTGAAGAACACCAAAATCACATCAAGAACACAACTAAATCATGAATCCCGGAGGACATACGGTGGTTACGGCCACCGATTCCTTCAAAACCAAGTCACAATTTGAGTTGTGGACCTCTCTCATACATGGAAGCAAACTAGAGGAAGAAACCCTAAAGGAGAAAATGAAAACTGGAGGAGGTAAGGGAGATGGGGGCTCCCTCATCCTATTTAACAGGGCTATTACACATTCCCAGTTTTGCCCCTGGATACAAATGAGTTGAACCGCTAAGCCCAAGGGCGTTGTTGTCCAACCTGGTGTAATCTTGATCCGACGGCCACCGCGCCTTCTCACCGGTAGCTTCGCCTCGACGCGAACTCCCCGATGCCGCCACGTGCCGTCCGTCCCTCCTCGGAACCTCCGCCCGGGTTTTGAGGCCCAAACCCGTAAACCGTCCGCGGGTAGCGTACTCCATACGCGTTCCCCGCCATCCGACGCGTGTCACCGCCGTCCTCGACCGGCCGGCCCGCCAAGTCCTCCTGAGCCTCGCTCGACTCACGCGTCCGCCGTCTTGACCCGGTCAACACCGTCACTCCATGTCTTCTTGCACTTGTCGATGTCCCAAGTGTCAGCCACCGCGGCTAGTCACCCGGCCTCTGGGTCCCTCGGTCCAAGCCTCACGTCCGTCCTTCACCGCTCCCGGTCTGTCAGCACGGCACGTCCTCCTTGACCTTCACCTCGCCATCGACCACCGCATCCGAGCTCCACACCTGCACAACACAAGCCAAAAGACATGTCGCACACATAGCTTTCGCCATGGTAGGGTTAGTCACCACTCAACCTACTTCGTGGATCACATTGACAATCACTCATCACAAAACGAACACACAAGGGTACTTGTCAACCTTGTGTTCGCAGATTATTATCATCATCTGTGGTTAGCACCTGAACGAGCTCCCTTGTATCCCTCTCTATCTGTTCTCCAACTATGGCTGGCTCGTCGACTTGTGAACTTGTCCTATAGCTGGATAACTCAGCAGCAGTTAGCTTCCTTGGCTCCGAGTTGGAACCGAGGCTGATATTGAACTTGTATTTATCCGGTTCCTTGTGGATGTCTTCTAGCCGCTGGTTGAGCTCCTTGATGCGGCTACCTATCTTGTGTGGAAACACAGGATTCCGTAGGCAGAAGTGCAACGCTTGGAAGCAACTGGGAGCCTTGTGTCGTTCCATTCTACCACCACCTCTGGACTCCCTCCGCTTGTCATCCTTGAGTTGACACAGGTCGAGGATGTCAATGGCATCATACATGGCGTTCTTGAGCTTTGTTGCCCATCTTTGCACGCTTGTGTCGGTAATGCGTCTCCTCTCGGCATCGCGAGAGAGGCTTTGAGGCCTTCCATGTTGTCCTCCAGCTTTGTGATCTCACCGGAGACGCCCAGCATCATGGACATCTCTGCTTGCGCCATGTCTGTGATTAGTTTCTTGACGTAGGGTGCGAAAGCATCCAGGACAGCCGCCATGGCTGAATTATAGCGTACCTGCTGCTGGTAGCAACCGCAGATTAGTAAACCAAGTGCTTAACTAATTTATGTAGCTAGTATTAACTAGTACTCCGATCATAGAAAAGTAGCACGCCGTAATCAAGTAGACACGACTCACCGGAGAGCGCGCGTCAGCAGACAGACGGGGATGAGTAACCAGCAGTCGGCAGACTGGCGGCCGGGGCAACGCGGATCACGCGGAGGCAGCTATATATATGCTTAATTGTATTCTTTTTCCTTTGCCGATGAGGTTGAGGAAGGGAACGCCGGCCGGCCAGCTCTTTTGTTTGTCGATGCCAACTAGGCTTTGTTTGTTCAACTTGTGCTAGCTGTTTCATATGTTTTGCCGCCCAGCCTCTGGCCCTCTGCTCTGCTGTGCTTTGCCAAGAAAAAAACTATTATGCCGGCCACCTTGCAGTTGCAGGAGGGCGGTTTTAGACGGCTGTGGTCTTCTGGAGCAGGACGCATCACGGCAAGCTCTGGCCTGCTTCCTTCTGATTTCCTCTGCCAGCTCCCAGAGTTTGTCTCCTTCAACAAAACTTTGCCATTTATTATGAGAAATGATAGGATAGTTGAGCAAAACTATCTCTAAACTCCAAAAGTGGTCACACCAATCTGACTCAGTTTTTAAATTGTTTATGAGTTTTCTTAATTAACTAGCAAACATGTCCGTGCATTACAACGGAATCCAATACGTATAAAAATAGAATTCCGTATCATTGCTAGACGTGACTTGTTCTATCTGTTATGAGTGCAGGTTATGTGTCCGGGTCACGTATGAGATATAGAGGTGCAACCCAATACGTATTAAAATCGGAATCTGTATCCCATCATCGGAAAAAAAAGCGAGACTGAACAAATACTCCATTGTCTCCGTAGTTTGAACAAATAATCTGCCATGCCCACAATACACATTGCTTGGATGACAGACACTGAAATAAATAAATAAAGATTTACCATGGCATGGATGCATATAATATACCTGTTGTCCATCAGTACTCTACATGAACCAGTGAAGTTGAAAAGAAGCACACAGGACTAGTACGTACGTACTGTACGTGCGCAAGCAAGAATACAACAAGTGCCGCAGTCACCTCTCCAGCTGGTTATATTTTTTTGGACCGAAAACTATAGACGGGTAGACCAGGCACCACTATAGTGTCGTTATGTAGTAGTGGTAGCTTTGTGATTGCTATATATAGCATGGGCTTGTGCTAAAGCTTGTGAAAAATGTAACTCCGCCATCTAAACTCCGATTCACACGACTACTAGTCGAATAGAATGTATTCGACGAGCGCTCTACATTCATGGCCTGACCATCACCCACCTGAGCAACGAATTTGTTGGAACCGTACCTTCGGCAGGCCACCCCTAGTGCCCATACCTGCACTTTTCGTGGCCGGAAACATAGTGCGAATAACCTGTCATGCAATTTCTCTGAACAGGCTAGCAAGAGAGAACTCCCCGCGAGGTGATCATCTAGTGAGGCCACGTGCGAAGGCGCCTCCATGAGGGTCTTCCAAGAGGGACGACCTCATGCAAGAGGGACAACGTCGGAAAAAGCAGAGAATCCCCCAACATTGAGGAGGCCGATCAAGAATGATCAGGGATCAGCATACAATGTCCGTGCTGCATGTCCGCTTGCTGTTTATTAGTACTGTACTAGAAAGGATTTGATCACCAGTTCACCACAGATTCGGTTCATTATAAGACCCGGGACTACGGGCACAATACTTGTGTAAATATAGGTCCATTACTTCAGAAAATATATATGCACAGTGTACAAATATGCATGGCCAAGACTACAGGAGTGCAGGCACGTTTTCCAGCACCTTGGCGGTATGTCGACAGTCTGCGTGTGAACAGGGATGTGTGCTGGAGACGAGCTTCTACCAATCGGATCTAACTGTCACTGGCCACTGCAGGCTAACATCATCATGCGGCTCTGCCATAAGAATCCTAGATCGCTGCATACATTGGTTACACGGTCAATGCATAATGACACCTGAAAATATGTAGTAAGCGGCACGTAAGTACTATACTGGCACTGTGCATGTTGGTGCACTGCATTGAGAGAGAAAAAGTATATATAGTTGCCTTGTTGAATATGTATCTACGAGATATATTTCTGATATGGCTGTCCATCAATTAATCTTCATCATCCGCACAAATGGTGCGTGACTTGATATGGCTGACCTTGCCGTACTCGGAGGAGCTGCCTGTTAACAAGGACTCGTACAACCTCTTGGTGCATGTCAACTTGAGCTTACTCCCTGCCATATAGTTCGGAAGTATCTCCATGGTGTCCTCCTTCAGCTCCTGGCTTCCTCACTGCTATTAACACTTGCAGATCGATTTGCAGGTGCTGGGTTGTGATCTGCTCCGTTACTTTTTCCTTCCTTGCATGCTGGTGTTGGCTTTCTGCTCTGCTCTGTTATGTTTTCCTTCCTTTCAAAGCAGAGGATGTGTATATGCATATATACTGCTGCAGGCTACAAAGCAGAGGAACAATAACATACAGTGTTCTCCGGGATCAGAAAAGCAGAGGACAACCTTGATGCGCCTGATCGTGTTCCGCGTCTGCATGGCACGTCTACTATTACAGAGCGTTACGTTCATCACCACACGTTTGTTCATTATAACAAATCCAATACGGAACATTGATTAATTTACAATATAGGAGCAAAAGAATATGAACACACTAGTACCAGAGTTTGAACACAAGGACAGTATTCAGCACTCTGCTTCAGCGTATAATTCCAAGCGTCGTCCAGCCCAAGGCAATCGGTTGTACAGAGTCCTGTGTGTCTCTCCCTACAAAGGAAATTTGGCCAAAGCAAGAGCAAGCAGATGGTACACAGCTGAAATCTGCGTGCTGGAGATGATGAGTTACCACGGATCTGACTCCATTCCCACTCCCACAGCAAAGATGGCATATGGATACCTGCATAAATGAAGTTTACATCAGAATACGTACTAAGCGTTCTCGTTACATGATTACTTTGACTGCACATGTAGGTGCAATGTCTTGCCAGAGAAAAGTAACTACCTGGTTAAATATACACTTGCTTTATTTCTGAGCTGGCCATGCATCAGTTAATGTTGTCGATAGTGCGAGACTTGATATGGCTGATCTTGTCGTACTTGGAAGAGCTGCCTGTTAACAAGGACTCGTACAACTTCTTGCTGCAAGTCAACTTGAGATACCTTGGGGTCACTGTTGTCAGATATTCCGGAAGTGTCTCCATGGTGTGGTCCTGCATCACCATGCTGTCAAGTAATGGGACTCCTTCCACGACCTCCAAAATTGGGCAAAGGGCTATCCTGAACTTCTGCAACTTGGAGAGGCCGCTGATCCTCGTAAGCTTAGGGAAGTTAAATAGCTCAAGTTCCACAACTGAAGGGAAGTTCTCCACGTATGTCAGGTCGCTCAGACTGTACAGGCCTAGTTCTCTCGGACCAAGCCTCTTGCTGCTGCAGAGCCCTGGTGGAAGACAAGTTAGCTTGCAGCTAAGAATTATGAGCTCCTTGAGAGCAGGCATGGCCATAGCTTCTGTAGTCTCACTCTCGCTCTCCTCCTCCCAGTCCCACTCCTCCCATTCACTCAAGCCATCCAGACGAAGAAATGACAGATTAGGAAATGTTACTACTGATCTAGGAGTGGCTGGAACTCAGGCCCAACACTATTGATGGCAGGTGCGTCAATAATGGCCAGTCTCCAAACAAGGGAGCTGGCACAGACGGTCAGGAAGTTGGGTGCAATAATGGCCAGTCTCCAAACTACGGATCCTCTTGAGCTTGGGGCAGTGGGACACGTCAAGTTCCACGACAGATTGGAAGTTGGGCTGTGTTTAGTTCGTGAATTTTGGGAATTTAGCTACGGTAGCATTTTTGTTTTTATTTGGTAATTAGTGTTTAATCATGGACTAATTAGGCTTAAAACGTTCGTCTCGCAATTTCTCACCAAACTGTGCAATTAATTTTTTTTTATCTACATTTAATGCTCCATGCACGTATCGCAAGATTCGATGTGATGACTATTGTAGCACTTTTTAGGAACTTAGTTGGGAATTAAACAAGGCCTTGCGCCCAGATATCATGTTGGTATCCTCGTACAGGTTGAGAGCCCAAGCGATAGAGGTGTTCTGGCCCAAGAACCAAGCGACTAGAGGGTGGCTGTGCTCTGCTCTGTTATACATCCTCCTTCTGTTCACTGACATGTGGTATATAGGATTAACCGCTGTCCCGTGCTTCCAAAGTAGTATGAACCATTATATTCCTCAGCCACTGCTCACACTGAAAGCAGAGGGCCATGCATATATTGGTGCACTGCAGGTGACAAAGCAGTGGATATGGTGCTGCTGCAGTGGATATGGGCCTTGCATACATTCGTGATATATATGGTGTTGCTTCCCCAAACATTGAGGAGGCCAAGTAAGGTCGATCAAGAATGATCAGGGATCAGCATACAATGTTCGTGCTGCATGTCCGCTTGCTTTTTATTAGTACTGTACTAGAAAGGATTTGATCACCACACATTCGGTTCATTATAAGATCCGGGACTACGGGCACGATATACATGTGTAAATAGAGGTCCATTACTTCAAAAAAGATACATGCGCAGTGTACGGATATACTTGGCCAAGGCTACAGGAGTGCAGGCACGTTTTCCAGCACCTTGGCGGCAGTATGCATGTGAACAGAGTTGTGTGCTGGAGACGAGCTTCTACCAATCGGATCTGACTGTCACTGCCCACTGCAGGCTAACATCATCATGCGGCTCTGCCATAAGAATCCTGGATCGCTGCATACATTGGCAGTGGCGAAGCTAGGTTGTGCGGTCGGGGTCGGCCGACACCGACGACTCGGTGACCGTCTCAGGTACTAGGCAATTTTTTACCGGCCAAAAAATTATTTGCCCCCGGCGGCCGGCACAACCTAGCAGCCTAGCGCGGCAAGGCCCAATTGGCCAGCCTTGAGACGCAACGCAGCTATGCATGCCGCAGGTACCAAGAGCATGAAAACGGCAAGTCCATAGCCCATAGGCTTGGCCTTTGGCCTTTCGGACTTCGTGGACGTGCAGCAACAGCACAGCTGGAGCTAAGGAATCTGTTCAAAGAAAAAAAAAAGCTAGAGCTAAGGATTGGTCTTTGGCATTTGCACACAATATTATTCGTAGTATTATACTTCCTCCGGTCCAGCTTATAAGGCATTCCACGTAGGTCAAGTGCCAATTTTTATAATATTTGACCAATAATTTGGTTAATAATTTCTAACTATTGTAAAAGAAATTTGACACTATTAGATTTGTAATTAATATATCATCTAATAATCATAAGTTCATAATTATAAACGATATAATATAAAATAAATGAATGGGTAAAGTACGATTTAAAAGATCATGCCATATAAAAAATGCCTTATAAAATAGACCTATCACAAGCTAAGCAAAAAGTTAGTGCTCTGGAGGTGTTCGGCTCAAGACGCAGCGGCTGCCGCTACAGTACATGTGAGGGATGAGAAAGCCGCTGCGCCAGCAGCTGTAACATCCCCTGAGTTTGGACCGACCCCAGCTCATCTTGCCGTACTCGGATGGGAGGAGCTGCCTGTTAACAAGGACTCGTACAACCCTCTTGGTGCATGTCAATTCGAGATACCTTGGGCTCACTCCTTGCCATGTCCCAAATTATAAGTCACTTTAACTTCTTTCGAAGCAGAGGATGTGTATATGCATATATTTTGGTGCAGGCTAGAAAGCAGAGGATTAACATACAGTGTTTCCAGAGATTAGAAAAGCAGAGGACAGCCTTGATGCGCCTGATCGTGTTCCACGTCTGCTTGGCGCGTCTACTATTGCAGAGCGTTTCGTTCATCACCACACGTTTGTTCATTATAAAAAATCCAAGACGGAACCTTGATTAGTTTTACAAATATAGGAGCAAAAAGAATACGAAAACACTAGTGCCCAAGTTTGAACACAAGGACTATATTCAGCACTCTGCTTCCCCATATATACTCTGCTTCGTCCAGCCCAAGGCAATTTGTACAGAGTCCTGTTTGTCTCACTTGAAATGATTTTTGGCCAAATCAAGAGGAGGAAGCACATGGTACACAACTGAAATCTGTGTTCTGGATATGATGACCTCACACCGATCTGACTCCATTCCCACTCCCATAGCAAAGATGGCATATCGATACCTGCATAAATAAAGTTTACTTCAGAATACGAACTAAGTGACCCTTACGCGAGTCGCGAGGGACTATGACTGCACATGTAGTTGCAATTTCCTGTGACAGAAAAGTAACTACTTGGCTAAATATATTTATACTTGCTTCATTTCTGAACTGGTCATGCAGCAATTAATCTTCATCTTGAGCGAAAGTAGTCGATAGTGCGTGACTTGATATGGCTGATCTTGTTGTACTCAGATGAGCTGCTGCCTGTTAACAAGGACTCGTACAACTTCTTGCTGCATGTCAACTTGAAATATCTTGGGGTTACTGTTGTCAGATATTCCGGAATCGTCTCCATGGTGCCGTCCATCAACTCCATGTTGTCAAGTGACGGGACTCCTTCTAGCACCTCCACATTTGGGCAGTATAAGATCTTGATTTTCTGCAACTTAGAGAGATTGTTGATCCTTTTCAGCTTCGGGCAGTCGAATACATCAAGTTCCACAACGGAAGGGATGTTCTCTATATATGTCAGGTTGCTCAGCTTGTACAGTTCTAGTTCTCTTAGAGCATGCCTCCTGCTACTGAGGAGCCCTGGTGGAAGACAACTCAGTTTGCAGCTACCAATTATGAGCTTCTTCAGAACAGGCATGGCCATAGCTTCTGTAGTCTCACTGTCGCTCTCCTCCTCCCATTCACACAAGCCAGCCAGACGAAGAGTTGCCAGATTAGGAAAACCTACTACTGATCTAGCAGTGACAATACCTCCACCGACCGCCAGGAAGGAGGGTGACTGGAATTCAGACCCAACACTGTTAATGGCAAGTGCGTTGTCAATAACCAGGGCCTCCAAAATAGGGAGCTGGCACAAACCGTTGGGGAGTTGGGTGCAATAGTGGAGTTTGTCCATCCTTAAATGCCTCAGGCTTTTAAAGGCCCATGTAGCTGGAAACATCATCCAATTTGGTAGCCGACTACCAAAGTATCCTTCAATGTGTAGGTGCCTTATGCTGCATGGAGGGGTGAGCTTCTCAATTACCTCCTCCACTACTATCTGCTGCAACTGCTTGTTAATTTCATCCCTCAGTCCCATGAATCTGCTGCTACTCCAATTAAGTTCCAAGTAATCAATGTGCTCCTTGCTACTAATCATGGCCATTTCAGCCGACGAGCTAGCAGGCACATTTTCTAGACCATGTAAAGTAAGCTTGCTCAGCCGGGAAAAAGGCCCTATCTCTTCCAGGCTGCACCAGCCCGTGCCCCCCATTCTTGTCCAAATGTACTTGGAACCCAGAAAGCGTCGTTAGATTTGTTAGATGACCAAACCCCTTGGGTATTAAAACATTATCAGTCGAACCATACATGTCAAGAGTTCTTAGATGCAGAAGCTATGTAATGCAGCTAGGAAGATGGTGTAGCTGCGGACATCTATTAACCACAATGTGCTGCAGGAACTTCATCTTATGAATGTCTCCAGGTAGCCCAGATATATTTGTATATCCTAAGTTGAGGTATCTCATGTGCTTCAGTGCACATAGGGAATCAACCAATCTATCACAATCAGTACCACTTATAAAAGGTACTCTCAGGGTAGACAAACTCCTGAATGAGTCACTACGCTTAACATTAATTTTGTGATTTATAATTAATGTTTGTAGTGATTTTTGCCTCTGTAGAATATCCCATTCTAGCGCTGATTTGGATGATCGTATAGACAATCGATGTACATGGCTGTGGCTGCTACCAGCATCATCTTGCTCATCCTGATGGACAACCAATGATTCTTCTTTAGACATAAACTCAGCAAAAGATCATGCATGGTGCAATAGTATGGAGTGCTACCTGATTTTTCAGTTGGTTCAACAAGATTCCTCGTGATTAGCTCCTGGTAATACCCATCTGCTATTTCTTCTAGCCGATCATCATATGAACTGCTCCTCTCTTGTGCATGGATAAATCCTTCACTGATCCACATCGGAACGACATAAGCTTGGCAAATACTTGTACCTTTTGGAAAAGTGAGCAGTACAGCAAACACTGCTTCAGCTGGGCAGACAAATCCTCGTAGCTCAAGTAGATCGCGTTGTCCAGTTCCTTAGGCAATCCAGCTACTGACCATGCATGGTGGTTCAAAACAGCCTCCCAATCACCCTCGCTTCGGGATTTCGAACTTAGCAGTCCTCCCATTACTTTGATAGCAAGTGGTAAACCTCCGCACTTAATAATTTTCATCCCGGCATCTTTGAGGTGATCAGTTCCATCATGTACCTGAGAGCATTTTAAGACTACTTGTTAGCAAACAAATATCCTTGCAACCATTTACACTAATAAAACATTGAATTTACAATATTATTTGTAAAATAACAATAAGCCTTAAGCTGATTAAATTATATATTCCCTTGTATCCTGCCCACGCGAAAAATCTAGAAAGCTAAGGTTCAGTTTTACATTTGGGGGCCCACCTCACGTGGAAAGCTGTCCATGGAAGTTATGCCCAAAGCATTAAATCTTTCATAAATTGCGAAAAAAATTCTGATTTTAGTAGTCAATTTCAGGTGTAGATAATTCAGCATGTCCTTTCACATGCTTGTGCACTGAATCATAGGCCCCGTTTGGTAGAGCTTCCAGCGGCTTCAGCTTCTGTGACGCATGCACTGTTCACATGAGCTCTTTTTCTCCCTCCTTCTCTCACAGAGTCGGTGAAGCCAAAAAGAAACTAGCTCCACCGGCTTTGTGAGAGGAGGAGAGAGGAGAGAGAAAAAGAGCTTATGTGAACAGATCGAACGGTGGAAAAATAGGAGGTACCTAACTGAAAGTACATAAAGATATCAAATAAGTAAGAATAGTACCAAATTAGGTGAGGCCAGTACAAAATATGTGGGATAAGATCTATTTTTTTATTTTTGTATTTTATTTTCGAATAAGGGTAAATCAGCCATTTTAATAGGTGACGGAGACCATTCCTGAGGTAGGCAGCGAAAGGAAGCATGGAGTCAGCTAGGAGCCTAGGACGTGATTCGCCGTGATTACCGGTGATTCGCCGTGATTACTGTGCGCATGTTAGATTGATTCACCGTGATTACTATTGATTGTTGGGCCGTGATACAAGGGTTCGGTAGGCCCACATATTCATGGTGCTGGACTTTTGGGCCATTTTGTCAAAACCAAGCAATTTTTCATTTCTTATAAAATTAGTGTACAAATGACATGAAGTTTTTATAGTTCTAGATTTTGAAAAAAAATGTATCACAGTTTTTTTAGAGTAAAATGCATGATTAGTCCATTAACTTGTCAGCCTATGTCGCTTAGGTCCATCAGCTTTGGAAGTGCATTTCTAGGTCCAAATCTTTGATTAGTGGTTCATAAATAATCTGTACCCCTTCGTTTTATGTTTTTAGCCAACGTGGACAATCCACGGTGGATGGTGAAGTGGACAATAGCGCACGTGCAGCACACGTGAGCGTGCTGGCCTGCGCCTTTTTGGCGAAGAGACCCTGGAACATGTCCTCCTCTTGTACTCAGTAGTTATCTCTTTGTGTGTTCTTGTAATCCATTAGTGTACCCTCCGTGAACCTAAACAATAAAACGTGCATGACTTAGTTAGTATGTAATTTGTCTAGGTCACTAAACTACGAATACTGTAATAGTTTAAGAATCGCCACGTACTTTACTCAAACTTTTTAACATATAAAGTGATCCACTGTAAACGTGAGCTCAAGCGTGCATGCATTAGTCATACATGCATTGGTTTCATCAATTCATTCGTTGCAAAATAAATGAGAAAGTATGACAAAAAATTTGGATAAAGCATGACCAACATAATCAGCCCAAACCGTTTCAGTGACCATGGTCGAATGGGCCAGCAGACATAAAGATGTGCAGCGGAACAGGTATGGGAACTAGGTCACAGCCGCCATTCATCTCGTACGTCTGCACATACGCCGAGCGGAACATGTCGCAAAGGGACGAGAGGGTTATGCCTAATTTCCGAAGGCACAACCTCAATTACTAAAATACCCTCTATAACATATTTCTCAAGTAATTACTTAGAAAATAGAAAAGCTCAAAGTACCTAGAGGTACCAATGGTACTTTCCCGATCATTGTAAAAGAGCTCCTAATTTTTATAATGGGGGGAGGTGTGTAGTTTATTTCAGACTTACGGAACATTAGGTTATTTTAAATGATAGAAAATATAAATACTTTAAATGCATATTTATGGGTTTATTTATTTTTCTAAAATAGTACATGTGGCTAATTGTTTCGGCTATACTTTAGATTATTTGTACTAATGAAAAACATGGATACTCTAGATGCATATTTAGGGGTCTTTTCATATTATTTATAACCATAGAGGTAACTAATAATGGCCCGAGTGGGTAATGGCACACCTTTTCTTATAGACTGTCCCCTCGGTTCCAAATTGTAAGTCGCTTTGGCTTTTCTAGATACATAGTTTTTGCTACACATCTAGATATACATTATGTCTAGATGCCCTGTAGTATATACTAACCCGACTTGGCGTTGGTACGGTGACAGTTGTTTGTTGAGCAAGGACCATGCATCATCTCCCTCGAGTGGGCTAACGTGGTGTTGGTAGAAGGGTGCTCCCATTTGTCGACGAAATATGGTCGGCAGTCTACCTAGGGGTATGCCCAAGGTAGTAGATTGTCGGCAGACAGATGCGCAAGCCACAAACAAGACGGTGACGCAAGACAGACACGAGGTTTTATCCAGGTTCGGCCGCCAAGAAGGCGTAATACCTACGTCCTGCATCTGATTTGTATTGTTGTATGTCAATGAGAGATGTTTTTTAGAGGGATCCCCTGCCCGCCTTCTATAGTCCAGGGGGCAGGGTTACAGATCTGGAAACTAATCCTAGTCAGTTACAATTGCCATATGTGGCCGGATAAGGATTCCTATTCTAACCGATCAGGATCCTGCTTGATCGCCAAATCCGCCTTGACTCCTTGTGCGGGACTCCGATCAGGTTGGCTGGGCCACACGTCGTCTTTCGGGTGGACCGAACCCATCGATCCGGGCCGGCCCAAGCTTAGCCGTAAGGGTATAGGGGTTAATACCCCCACAGCTAGTCCCCGAGCACCATGTATTATGTTGCGACACGCCATTTTAACCTTCTCCGACAAGTAAGGCTTGAGTTCTTGACATTTCTAACCACCATCATCGCCGGAGAAGTAAGTTGTCCGAAGAATGTATAGTGCTCTTAAGAAAAAAGAAAAAGATTTTCGTCCTGAGAAGTGTGCCCACTTGTATTTCTGGAAAGAAATGTAAGTGGTCTTGAAGCATAGCGTCCTTGATCGTCAGAGGCGTAGGGGTCGAAAAAACCAACACATTCACCGCAAGTTGAAGTGTGCCCACTTAGTCTCCGAGCCTGGTAGTAGGTGACGTAGGCACGTGGTGCCAGGGTCTTAAAAGAATTCCCAGTTTAGTTGAGAACCCAATTGTCGTACAAACAAAAACGAGATGCACCGGCAGGTGCATCGTACCGACGTAGTCCCCGAGCTTGCTAGAAGGCGAGGTATGAACCTTGTAGCAAGGTCTAAATAAATGTCTCTCAACTGTATGTGAGTACAACCCACATGTAGCCGAGGAGAACCATTCTCCGAGCGGTGGTCGGGACAGTCCCCGAGCACATTGATAATCCTTACAATCATTCAAAGCACAGGGGTCGATTAAAACACATTCACCGCAAGGTGAAGTGTGCCCACTTAGTCCCCGAGCCTGGTAGTAGGTGACGTAGGCACGTGGTGTCAGGGTCTAAAAAGAATTCCCAGTTTAGTTGAGAACTCAATCGTTGTACAGGCGATACGAGATGCACCGGCAGGTGCATCGTACCGACGTAGTCCCCGAGCTTGCTGGAAGATGAAGTATGAGCCTTGTAGCAAGGTCTAAATAAATGTCTCTCAACTGTATGTGAGTACAAATCACATGTAGCCGAGGAGAACCATTCTTCGAGCAATGGTCGGGACAGTCCCTGAGCACATCAGTTGTCGGAGCAGTCCCCGAGCACGGCAGTGGTCGGAGCTGTCCCCAAGCACGGCAGTGGTCGGAGCAATCCCCGAGCACGGTAGTGGTCTTGGCAGTCCACAAGCACGGCAGTGGTCTGGGCAGTCCCCGAGCACGGCAGTGGTCTGGGCAGTCCCCGAGCATTGTAGTAGTCTGATCCATCCTTGAGCACAAGACATGCAGCAAAAATACGAACGTCATTCGTATATTATTTGGTGTATTTATTTATCTCCTTCCTCTA